GATCAAGACAACTACTATGGCAGACGACTTCGAACTAGGTGCGTTCTACATAGTCTCCCTGATAACAACCAGTGTGAAAGGAACATTAGTTTCATGATGAAAATGCCAAACAATGCACTGATTACAGCTGGACAAATAAGACAATTGTAAATCAATCCTGCCATTTGGCTATTTTTGAATTGTTGCAAACATTATTGTATTGCTCTCCGATTATGTAATATAATGAGGAAGTGTCATTCGGATACAGTTAATAAAATACTTTATCAAACCTCCATCAAGAAATTAAAGGACAGTTACGATACTGAGAGGCTTAAGCTATTTAAGTTCATACATCTCAAGTCAAGATTAAGAAAATATCTAGGTAGCGTCCTCACTTTGGATGAATTTCAAAAAAAACCCACAACTGTTTAGCACACGTTTGGTCAAAAGATCGGCTTTGCTTGTCTCTTTGACGAGTTGTTGTGTGGTGCTAAGAGTGGCGAGACTCACTGACGATGCTGACTACGATGCCGGCGAAACGCCTGGGAATGTACCACGTCCACGGTCACACTTTGGAAATGATCATGCAGACAATGGACTCCGGACTAGGTGCGTTCCTCTAAGTCTTCCTACTAATATAACCAAGTTGCGAAAACAAGGTCAAACAACTTTTATACAACGAAAGGAGACTGCGACCATACAAAAGGCCACACCATCTTGGTCTTCATACCTTAAATCATGGAATGCCTCATTAAGATCGCAAAGTGAGGTATACGAAGTAAGTAGGATCTGTGCTGGCCACTTTTCTCGGTTTAGTGTATTTTTGTAATTTTTTCGTGAACAATGCTTCCCGGCTCTGACGATCTCAATCACACGAAGGGCGACAGCTCAACACGTAGTTATCAGCGTCGTAAGACGGTGATCCGTGGTTTTCTTCGCACTGTTCAACAGACGAAATTCCAAAGCAATCCTACGTTATCCGGTGAGTCCAATCTACGAATACCTTCGACCTGCTTTCTCAAACGAAATGAAAGGTTCTCCAGTATCAATCTATTAAGGGATTATTCGAAACCCAGCTTCTCTTCATATATAGAAAAATCTATTGAGGATAGATTGAGAAGGCAAAAATGTGTTCTATTGAATCTTTAGTAAGTGAATTTTTATTCTTGGGTAAGCATTCATCTAGTTAGAGCCGATATATATATGAAGTCTATTGTCCATCTCTCTCTCTCTCTACATAAATATATATATAAATTACTAAGTTATTTAATAGCTATGCCTCATTATGAAAATGTTTACCTCATTTGCTTTGATTTTAATAGCGATATTCAATGGTCATTTTAATGGAGGCGGGTAAAGGAGTTGAGGGACGTAAAAAGAGCAGGAAAAATAAGTGGGCCAATAGAATATAGTTTTTTCAGGACTTCCTCTTGCTAGTGATTTCTTAGATCGCTGACGGTACTGATGATGCCAATCAACGAGAGGATAGCGATGTGTAAGTTGATTGTGATAGTGATGGTGCTGATGAATGACTTTAGTGATTGTGGTGGCGGCACGATACTGGAAGATGGCATTCATCCAATCCTAGGCCTCGGCAATCCAGGTCAGCCAGCAACCAATTTTCCCACACGCGGCTGCTCCGACGATTGTCCCAGATTACAGCTAGGCATGCGATAATGAGCTCGGCCTATGAAGTTCCCGATTAATTTGTAAACCTGGCTACTCGCTTGATTCATGCGATATAGGCTGCTGACTAGATATCTGAGTGCATGAAAACACACATTTCTATAGTTGGAACTAGAGGAGGGTGCAGTAACGATGATTAACGCACACATATACGGATGGATGAAATGGTGCAAGCCTGATTAACGAAAATGACAAGAAACAGAGGATTAGGAAAATGGGGTGGAGAATGAGAAAACCGCTGGGCACATGTTTAACTGTTTGATGAGGCGTTTGAAGAGCTGACAAATATTTGCGATTATGGGCCTAGGTTGCAAATGGGCAATCGTCTACGAGACTAAGCTATTCCATGTGTCGATAAATTGTTGCTCCTACGCAATAATTGATTGATTATCAAGGAGAAATAAGTAGTAGGCGGGTGTATCTGCCAAAAATCTGCTAGCTCTAAATACTGTTACCCAGTGAAAAGAAATTATGCCCAAGAGCACATAAATATTAAAATGAGAATAGCCTATTTTGAACCATAAAGATACTGGGAATTTAGGATTCTAGTATCCACATGTTCATAGACTAGGAACTTTGGATCAACAATAGAACCATCCAACCTTTAACAAGATATATTAATACCACACAAAATTTAATGGACCAGGATCGCAGTTTGGACTAGCAGTAAAATAATAATTATACATAAGATTAAAGAAATAATAACTCATAAATTACGTATTAATATTAGATCGGATCTGCCTAGCATAAATAGGATAGATCGTGATTGAGAGTCATTTGTAAATTGGGTAAATTTAAGATTAAGGGAGCCATAGAAAAACTACACTACTTATCTAGAATTAAAACCATATATATATATATATATATATAAATGAAACGTATGTAAGGAGATTACTTTTTTACATTCTTTTTTAGTCATGCTAATGGGACTAAATTTTATGTCGTTAATTCAGAATTCATTATGAGAATTCAGATACAATATATGCAGACGAATAAATTGAAAATTTAAGAAGATTAGAGCTAAGGACAATTATCCTTAGTTTAACTTCGTAATTATTTCATAATATTTGAATGAAGTTAAGGGAAATGGTTATTAAGGTGGAATACAGAGGCTATTACCACTAAAAGTATTCTGATTTAGTATCATTTCCATGTCAACCTAAAATATCAGATGCAAGTGTATGAAGACACTAACTTAGACAACTAGATCACCATATACCACAAAACTAGGCTTTATAAAATAGACATGATCGTAGTCAACCTACATTCTTGGTTAGCTTAAAGTAAGGTTAACTAAATTATGATTTCTCGCTCTGTCTTCTACATTACAGATGAATGCATAAAATGGGTTCTTTGAACATCTTTTTGGGTAGTAAACATTTCTTCCAATAATCCAACGAATATGTCTGCCTCATACTCAAGGATGAAATATATGGCAGCCTGTAGCATACGAGGGATGGATAGGATGAACTCAGAGTCTATGATATCAATCAATTTATTCCATTCTGAATGTATTATTAACTATTAATATATAAAGTTCTCTTATTATTCCTAAATTTTAAGTTAATCGTATCGATTCGTTTGCCGAAACAAAAATAATTTTACATTAAATTCAAGTCCAAGCAATATAATTTGCTGTAATATAGCATTGGGAAAACCTTCAGCAGCAAGTCAACTATAAGAGACCTGCTTTTTATTCAGTCCACCAGAGTAGCACCAGTAAAATTTGGCATGAATTGCTACCAAGTGAAATACTATATAACAACTAATTCCCTAATGACCATTAAAGATTGCCTGTTGGCTATATTCCCTTCGCATTTAAGAGGAAAGTTCCGTAATATGAAGTGTGTAGCTTGTAGTTCTAGCGATTTAGTTTCTCTAAGAA